TTTACCGCCGTGGGTTTGGCAGGCAGGTGACCCCAGCACTTCTCTCCTGATTCCAGTCAGCGTCGAGTGCGCCGCCGTCGTTCCCCTCCGCTGGGATCGGTGACATGGGGGGCTATGGAGGAGGTGGCAGCCTGCCAGTGAACGGGCTCACGGCACACCAGAGCCAGGTGGGTGCCAGCAGCTTTTCTGGGAGCACAGCAGTGGCAGTGGAGGCTGCCAGGGGGTGATGTGTGATGTGGGGCAGGGAAATGCAAGTTCCATCACTTTTTGAAGACAATGGATCTGTTCAGCCTTGCTGACAGAGAATCTGAGCTCTGTGCTAATGGTGGTTCTTGCTTCTCCAGGTACTGAACTTGATAAAAAGCTGCCCTGTCCCAGAAGGTATGAGCCTGCAAGAGCTGAAACTTCAGCTCCGCAGTATGAGCATGTCAACGATCAAGTAAGTGTGTAGAAATGAAGGGTGTTCTGGAAATCCAGGCAGTCCTTTCAGAGGCAGAGAGGACAGTGGACAAGCCCAGGCACTCACCTGTGAATCAGTGTGGGTAATCCAGGTGGCCCCAGCAGCACGGAGCAGTGAGCCAGAGCTTTTGAAGGCTTCACAGCCCCAAATGAGCCATTGCCAGTTGAAGGTGTGACAAATACTTTGCTCCCCTGTTTTCAAAACAATCTGTTTATCAGTTCAGTGGCAACAGGTACCTGGGTGTACTGCAGTGCTTTGGCAGTATTTCTCCTGTTCAAGGACTACCTTGTTCTCTGCACACTGAACACTTAGGAATAGTCTGTTCTGTTCTCCTTTGCTATCACTTATAACTTTTTCCTTGAGGCCTAGAAACATAGTCATTAACATCCATGACCTGCTTTTACCTGGGAAGTACAGAGAGTGGTGGCCTTCTCCCCTGTGACAGACAGAGTCTGAGCTGTGGGGGGAGCACCTTGTCACAGCTTTGGAGAAACTCTGGGCCTCACTTACACTGCTCACAGGACAGAGCCATCAAGAGCTTCCCTTGGCAGCTGCCAGGAGGGAACTGTGGGGATGGGGTCTGTAAATGGGAAATCCCTGGCAGAAGGGTGGTGACATTTGCTAATTAATTGCTAACCGCTTATCAATCATGGGGTTTTCTTCAAGGCAAGCCGTGGAATTCCTCAGCAGCGAGGGACACATCTACTCCACGGTGGATGATGATCACTATAAGTCAACAGATGCTGAGTGAAGTTCCCTCCAGCTAATTTTAGCTCCAAAAAATGCTTGTCTATGTTTCAAGATACCCTGCCAAGCTCAGTGACGTGGAAGGTGATCTTTGCTCTTTGTAGAAGGTCCCAGTTACTCTGTGAATGCCTCCTCATGGAATTCCAGGACAAGCAGAACGTACAGGATTCTGTTAACTGGACTTGATTCTATGCTGTGACCATGTGACTGAAAGCCTAAGTAGACACGGGAAAAGTGAACTTCTCAAAGCTTCAGAACCTTCATTTTGTTTTGGCTCCTTAAAAGATGCCTGTTAGAAAGAGGAGCCGCTTTCTAATCTTTGTTTCTAGAGCTGTTTCTCCTAACTCAGCTTCCCTTCTATTCGTTCACAAAGTGGGTAGCCATTCCACTAATGTACAGCAATCATGAAAAGATTTTTTTATTTTTTAGTTTGTGCATTTAAATCTATATTTGTACTAGAGGCGATCTTGTTTCTAGAGCTTTTGAACATTTCTAATAAAACTGTAACTTGGGGAGCCTTGCCTGCATGTGTGACTCAAGAGGCTTTTCTGCCCTGAAGAAGGAAACCATCTGCTTGACAAAACCTGGGAGTAAAAGCACACCTCATACTTAACTATCCTTATTTTTTCTTTAGCTTTTTGCTTTGAAAGGTCAAACCGAAATGAGTGTCTGGACAGTAAGAAATTAAATAATTGTACTACAGCAGAAACCAGTATGCTGTATCAGTGTTACAGATAGGGCCCAAGTAATTTCTGCCACCAAAACAGGCTCCCCAGGGCAGTGGGCACAGCACCAAGGCTGCCAGCGCTCAAGGAGTGTTTGGACAATGCTCTCAGGGACAGGGTGGGATTGTTGGGGTGTCCTGTGCAGTGCCAGGAGTTGGACTTGATGATCCTTGGGGGTCTCTTTCACCTCAGGACATGCTGTTCTATGATTTTAGCTGAAGCTCAAATGAATTACACCAAGTGCAATTAGATTTTATTCTTTAAACCATTTTTAAAGTGTAACAGAAAAACACTGTTAGGATATAGGTTGATACTCTAGATGGATTGGGGTGGAGATAAGAGATTTGTGTTTCCTGTTTTTCTGCAACTCTGCCTTGTTCAGGGAGGCTGCAAGCGACTGCAGCACCATATTGTCCCTCAGTCATGGTGAGCTTCCTGTCATAGGAAATTCAAACAGACCTGCCTTCTGGCAATTGTTTTGTACTTGTAATGAGAGCACTTCAAGAGCTCATAAATGTTCAGGAGCATTTCAGGTGTGTAATGTAGCTGTTCTCACAGAAGGAACCACACAGCTTTCCGCTTTGTGAAGGTGTTGCTGAAAAGCAGGACCCAGATCTTTCAAGCTGAACCGCTGAGACACTGAACTGCACTTGCAGGTGAGAGCTGCTGTTCTGTGCTGTGCTGCACACAGATTGCTGCCCTGTCCTTCGATTGCTGCCTGCCAAGTGCCCAGGGACTGCTGGAATAGCTGCACACGCAACCAGGGCTGGGGCAGAGGGCTCAGGGGCTGGTAGGATCTCTGTGCTATGGGAGCTGCAGGTCATGGGGTTTCTGTTGCCTGGAGCTGGTGAATTAACTTTGTTTTGCAAAAGCAGTTGTTCCCTGTGGACACATCCGTGGAGCTGCCTGGGGGACCTGGGGTCTCTGCTCCTGGGGTTACTGCTGGGGCAAATCTGTGTCCTGCTCGGGTTCTGTGGCCCAGCTGTAGCCTGTGTTGCTAAACCGTGTAGTAGGTGTGTTACTGGTTAACATCTCACTATAGAGTCCATCAGATCCGGAAGCCAAAAGTACTGTAATTTTTGTAGGAAGTGTGCAGGTTAGGAATTAGAAGTGAAGATGCACGGAAGTGCTTGCAGTAAAGAGAGCAGTTGTGCAATTGGATAAAACAGCGCTGTGCTGCCCGCGCTGAGGGCGGGTGAAGGCAGGGACCCCCCAGCTCTGCGGGATGCTGTTCTGGCTGGACCGGAGCTCCAGCCCGTCCTGCCCGGCTGCCCCACAGCTC